ATTTCTACTTATCAGAATATGCACCATCTCATGATTTCCCATTTTAGAGTATAAGGAGCATATTTGTCCTATTTCTTCATAATTCTTAGCCCAATGCTGGCCACAAGTCCATAGCTTATTAAGTATGTGCTGATTAACTGATACATAAATTCTCCTTTACCCCTAACCCAGTAAAGCAATCAGCCTTCCTAGTAATGGCCTTGAATGATGACTAAGACAGCCCATAGCACTTCAATGTGGCTGAACTAAGAAATCTCAATTGCTAAGACAAAATTCCTTTACATAATGATATTACAACCTCAAGCTTTAATTAGTACTTGAAAAATAAGATTATAATAGCAACTATGGCAATCTGGTTGACATGGTAAACAACCTTTCTGCACATAATCAATTTAGGCTCCTAATAGTACTAAATTCAGACTCATAAATGTTTTTGGCTCTTATCCTATCTTATTTTTATAACAGCTATGGATTCAGAAAGCATGCATTTATAAAAACATCTTGCAGTTATAATTTAGGTTTGCAGATGATACTATATGTGATTTGGCTCTAAAAAGAGATAAATATTCTGGTCTGAAAAGATAATCCACTAAGCCAGAAATCCATTCAAATGCTAAAGTTATTTCATACAAATTCCTTACATTAGCCCATTACCTAGGAAAATTCTATGTCAATATAAAATATCATACATCCATCATTTCAATGGTCTCAAGGTATCAGATAAAATTCTACTGCTATTAAGTAAAGCTTGTATATGTTGGATTTAAAGTAGTATGTGCTGACAGCCATTCTTGTCTTGTGTTTTTTTTCTAATATTTTTCATAATTTCTGATTTTTCCACACAATTTTCTTCTATTTTGATCAATTCAAGTTTTCTTAACATCTTTGTTTTACCTTGTTTACATCTGGCTGTCTTACTGTATTTTGTATAACTAAGTCTTTATCCTGTGGAATTCTATAGAACAGGAAAAGAACACAGATCCCATAAATAGCAAAAACAAGATATTTATTTTCCCTAGAATGTAAAATAATATTGTAGAATTGATATAATGCTAAAATTTTCTTTTCTAGACCTGTTTCCAAAAAGTGGAAAATGCGATATAAATATTGAGCATCAGACAGCTATTGTTTTTGAGATGTCTTACACATCTTATTTCCTAAAGTTAACAAAGTCACAATTCTACTTAAAAATGTAGTAGTTGTTAAAACAAAATTAACTTTGGGTAGACCCATGGTTTAATATATTATACTATGACTAAGAACCTCTGGTAAATTGATATGCTAAGGAGTATATTAGGTAAATATTCTAACTTACATACTGTTTTTCTCAACTCTGTATTTAAAATATATAATAGTAAATGCTCATCATCTTTTGAATTGTCTTTCAAAAATATTATTGCTGGGCTATAACTAAGTAATTAAATTTGATTTGTAGCTACATTAGTTCATTAGCCTTAACATTTTCCAAAACAGTTAAGCTGATGTTAGATCTTGGAATATCAAGTAATATTTTGTAATCATTATTACCATTAAACTAGAATCATTAAAGAACAATCATTAACAGCACTTCAAATTTGTGGGTATTACCTACAAAACCACAAATCAAATTAGCACATTCTTCATTTATTTTTTACTAGCTGTTAACATTAGACAGAATTCCCTGTTGTAAGTCAAGATTAGCTGTCATTGGTTTAGAATGTGTCATTGATTGAGTTTATAAAAAAGCATGTGCTAGCTGTTATTATCTATTTAATGGGATTTTGCTTCATAATTTTAAAATGTTTTGCTGAGAATATATTTTATTAGAAATTATAATCATTTATCACTTAGCAGTATTTTTTTCTCAAATACATTTTGATCTTAGAAAAGGTCAAGTTGAAATAATTCAATTCATTTATGTAAGAATATTAATAAATATGTATGTATATTTTTATATTATAAATTTAAATGACTACTTCTACACTAAAAATAAGATCAAAGACTAGGAATCTATCTTGTTTTTGGAACTGAACAATCAATAAAGCTATACTGCCTTTTATTCTCCATCCTTAATCAGATTGTACCTTATTTCTACCTTGTTTAGGTTTGTGCCCAACATTAAACTAACCATTTTTTTTTCAACGTATTTAATAAAGCTTAGGGGTGCCAACAGCCTTATTTAGATACTGTAGGTTCTGAAGGAGGACAGACATCTTTCAAGATTAACTATGCAATTTGATAAGATATAAATTCATTCTTAAAGACAACTTGGGTTTAGTCTACGTAATCTGATTCCATTGCATGACGACAAACTCTTTCACTTGGATCTGACTTACGGAAACAAGACAACTGCCAAAGGAAAAATGATCCTTAAAAATTAATGTTTTCTAAACTGCTAACAAGGTAGCACAACTCCATTTGACCCAGCAATCCCATTAATGGGTATATATCCAAAGGAATATAAATCATTCTATTATAAAGACACATGCACTCGTATGTTCACTGCAGCACTATTCACAATAGCAAATATATGGAATCAACATATCTTTGATAATACATTTTTCTAGAAACCTTGTGTTTGAATCCTGGTGCTTGATTTAAGGTTAAATCCCAGTCACAAAAACAAATTTATGCAATCAATAGACCTATTTAGCATCTACAAAGCTTGTCAGTAATAAAACTCTATGAAGTCAAGATGAAATCTCTTCAAAAATTAAAATTCTAAAAAGAAAAATATAGGGCTGTAATTTCATTCCCCTTACAAATTAAATGCTTTGCCATTTCTAAAATTTCACGTATCTATTGAGCAAATGAAGTATAGTAAGAATTTTATAAAACAAAAAGCTTGTGATTGATTTAGAATACTCCTAAGAACATATATACAGAGATGGCATGGATTATTAACCAGTTTTCACCAACTCCACAAATGTTTACCAATTTTCACAAGAAATCTACATTTCTAAAGATGGAATTTGGCAATACTCCTTCCTTAGCAATAATAAAATCAATTTAATTGCATAGGATGAATGTTTTAAATGGAGCTTGGCAGAGTAAGTTATTCTATCAAATCAATGTCAATCCTTTTTAAAAATTCTTTTCCTTATTCTTCTGCATTGTACCACCCAAAAGAACATTATTTATTTATGGTTTGGTCAAAGTCCTGAACAGCAGAATAGATAGGGAAAGACTGCTTTTCAAATAAACCAGTAGAGTCCTTATTCTTAAGAAAAAGAAAGATAGTATTTTCAAAAGAAAATATTATCCTTAGTCAAATCCTTAGTCAAACAAAAACAAAGACTGAAGATGTTTTAAGGGCTACCCTTATAAGTTCATTTGACGACATGAAATACACCTTTAACAACATGCAATACACTTTTACATGAATTTACAAGTGCTACTCCAGAAGGGTTCAATAATTGAAATGATTAGAAAACATAATCATTAGGGAAAATACAATCAATACGGAAATAATTCCTAGCAAAGGAATAAAGTTCAAGTGTGTTAATCTGGGCACACAGGAACTTTCCAATCCAAGACCATTGGAAACTCTTTCTTGGATATGAAGGATATTAATTTGCTACTAGATAAGTATCTTTCAGTAAAATAAGTGTCCCAACAAAACACATCTCGATAAGTGGCACATTATCATAATAAACATAAAATAGATATTAATCAAAACACTATGCCCCCTACACATATCAGAAGATAGATACTATAATCTCTGCTTTGATTTCATTGTGATGTTGTACTTGACACTATTTATCACTATACTGTAACAACAAAGGTTGTAAAGACACTGACAGGCTCTTTCAGGAAAATCTGTTCTCTTTGCCCATCCCTCCCTGTTTGTTTTCCCTCACTTTCAGTAGGAGAAATTTCCTATTTAAAGAGCATGTATTCATCATTTGACGTATCACACGCCATCAACATAAGAATTAACTAGTTTAGAACTATATTTATCTGTTTATTTTGCTTTCCTGAAATTTCTAAATGCCTGATGCTTCAACCAATATAATCGTTCATTTTAATATCCTTTGTTATACTGCAGATATTACAGGTTCCTTCCCTCCCTTCCCTCCCTTCTTCCTTCCTTCCAGAAATTGTTCACAGAATCAAATTTTCTGCTTTGCTTTTGGTGAGCTGAGTGCAACATCCCTTACTAGGCAAAGAGGGAACAGCCCTCTAAATATCAACTCTCAGTGGAAGAATCACTGCACAACTGGATACTTCACATTACTACATGAGCACAGTGCCACCATAAAGTGCCAAGAGGAAGAATAAATTGTTTCTTGTTTTCTCTGACCCACTCCTCAGCAACTAGATACGTGGGCAGAATCTTATTTCTCTCCCCATCACTTTATCAGTGGGCAGAGGGTTTGTTTAATAAAGTAAAACCGGACTGGAACTACAAAAAGGCTGGATAGCCTTTCCCATGTTGGCATAACACTGAAGAAGCAGGATTGGTCATGAAGTCACAATTTAGCAATGGCATCTAAGCAGAAACATTAACTTATATTGTCGCAAAACACAATGTCACATAAAAGCCACAAAAATATTTTCAGCCAGCCGTGGCAGCCAGGAAATTCTTTTCAGAGGTGTTTCCTTTTTGGGTTTTCCCAATTTGGACTCAGAAATGAAGTTAGAGACCTATTGTGATATTTTAAATATTCCTTTTCCAAATATATAACACGTGATTCAAAATAGAATGCAAGTTTTTCAGCCTGTCTTAAGTAATCTGATAAATGGTGGCCCATCGCTCATTTTATCATGGTCACAACATACTTAAAATGCATATATGTATAAAAGTAAAAATAAAATATTGATGTAAATAGAATTAAGATCTCTATGTATAGAGCATATTGATAACTGGCACCCAAGCAAGGACTGATATTTTGAAAATGGTTTTGTATAAAAGCAATTCCATTCCTTGTATGCTATTTAGTTTAAAAAACAATGCACAGACCCACATTCATAAACACACTGAAACAAACACACATACACACACATAATATAGAACTTACACAATTTCATCATTCTGGAATTCGAGCTCTCCACAGGTGTCCTCAAAATCCTCACCTCCACCTCTGGCAGTTCCTTCGATGGTTTTATATGGAACAATAACATTTCCTCGAGCTCCAGATGTTCTCAATACTTTCACCTCCATGATGCCAATGCTCTCACTCACGTGAGTCACAGGTTCCTCAAAAGTAAAAATGCCTGCGTGGTCATCATCAAAAATAGTTACAGTGGCAGTGGAGGGAGAACCGAGGCAAGCAAGTGTAGAAACATGATTGGCTTCCAGTATGCCATCTTCTGAAGCTTCGGAAGACACTTTGACATTGCTGAGATGCACAAGGAAATTTTCATCCTCCTCAAAGATATCATCATCGATGATACCCACTCTAATTTCCTTCTGGGTCTCACCAGGCTTAAACACCACAGTTCCTTCAGTAAATTCATAATCAGACCCAGCATTTGCTGTGCCATCCTCTGTTCTGAAGTCAACAAACACAGTGTTGGTCAAATCACCACCTCTGCGGATAATAGTAAGGGCCACAGTACCACAGTTTTCCAGACACTGATATGTCCCTTGTTCAAAGAAGATCTTACTAACAGGGTCGTTTTCAGCCACTTCGGTGTTGACCTCATGCATGCTGACAGCCTTCCTTGCTTGGTCAGCTGCATGCCGTTTTAAAATGTTGCCAGCTCCTGTCATCAGGCGAGTAGCTTGAATGCGGTAAAATGCTCTACTTTTTTGCTGCTGACTTAGGACTTGGTAGTTAGCTAATTCTATTAATTGCTCTATTTCTTTCTCTGGATGTTTCTGCTTAAGTTCCTTCAGAATCCTAGCCATTTCTCGCCTAGCTTCTTCATCATCTTGGTCCCTCTCATCCACCTCCAGAACCAGAGCACCATCTAAGAAATTTTCAACATGAGAATTGACCACTTTCCCATCCATTTCAATTTCAGTCTTGGAAGATGGCCTGTCTCCTTCATGTTCAATAATCATGCCCCTTTGCTTGCCAGCTCGATACCTCTTGTAGACATACTTATAAAAAAGTAGTCTCCTATCTGCTACCCAAGCGAACACAACACAGATGGGAAAGAAGAAGAAAGTAAGCAAACCTTCCCAGACCTCCACAACACCAGGAGAGATGACAGACAAAATAATGTAAAGCCAGGTGTAGGCAAAGATGCTCCAGGCTGCCGTCACAAAGAACACACGCAAATGCTTAATCTTCCTTGTCTCTCCGTCAGGGACCACGTAAACACAGAGTGCAATAATGATGAACATATTGAACGCAGCACTTCCCACGATGGTGCTAGGACCGAGGTCTCCTGCAGTGAAGTTATGGCCGCACACTTCAATTACTGAAAGGAGAATCTCAGGAGCAGAAGATCCCAGGGCCATCAGGGTCAGGTTGGAAACTGTCTCGTTCCAGATCCTCACAGTTGTCTTGGTGGTCTCTCCATTGGGTTTCTTTATGGTTATTTCTTTTTCTTGAGATGTGATGACTTCTATAGAGGACATGAACCGATCAGCTATGATAGAGACTCCAAGAAACATGTAGACCATGGCCACAAAATACACAGTAGCTCTAGCAATTTTGTCCCCAAAAGAAGGGTCTTGGGGCTCCCAGATGGGCAAAATCACCCCTTTCTTACAGTAATATGAGCCAGTACATTCACCAGTTTCATTTCCTTCTCCTTCCATTTCTGTCTCCGCAATTACGCGGTCCACATGGGAAAATAAGAGAGCCAGGATAACTAACAGATGTAATCCCATTGAAAAGGTGGGTGAAAGACTTAATCGCAGCATGTTGTAGATGACACTTCCAACTGTCACAACCTACTGGTAAAAATAAGATGGGGAGAGGGTGGAAAGAAAGTCATGTCATTAGAGTTGCATCCAAAGCATTTTACTAATTACTTACTTTTATGACTCTTACCAAAATTGGTTTATATTTCACCATCAAAAATCTATAGTGAGTAATTGTTTTAAGACTCCATCAGTGACTAAGCAATCCTTTGTAAAGTTTACAACTCAATCTTCCCCTGAATTTACTACATGTAGTATCTATTCACTGAGCAGGATACACAATTGAGTTACTGGAAAGGAAAAGTTCAATTAATACAGCCTTACCTTATTAAACACAGGACTTTTAAAGCATTAAATAATTTCCTCCTCTTTACGAAAGCATATTTTCTTCTAAATTTTTGTTAGTACATCATCTTCCAGAAACGGTTTCCTTGCCAAAAGCACCTTATTACCATTGATGCTTTGAAAATCAGACTGAAAAAAAATCCCACCAATGCAAGGACTGGTGATTTTCTTAAACACCAGAAAGCATCTTACACAGTATTTCAAGAAATCACGCCTTCTTGCTCCACACTTACATGGAAACAGAAAACTTCAAGCTTGCCTGAAATCAAACCTCAATGGCATTTCTTCTTGAAGGGGAAAAAATTGTGTTGTAATATTTCTACACATTAAGTACAGTTTTTAAAAGCATGTTTTGATGAGAGCACATTTCCTCTTTGCTTTCAGCCAGCCCGGGTCTCCTGATACATTAGCAGCTGCACATCTGGTTCTTGAAGCACAGCTCTTCACATCTGGGTACAGAGCCTGCTTTTCTGCAGGCTGGAAAGTGAGATAACCAGGCCAAGGCCTAGTTGTGGGCAAGAGTGTGGCAGGCTGTGGAATCAGTATCACCAACCTTAAAATGTTCCTTCTCAGTGTTGATGTCATATTTTCCATGGTCATTCTAAAATACATATTAGTTCTGTAGAGGGTTCAAGTGACCAAAAAATGTAGGACCAATAATTCCATTTAAATTAGCTCATGTGGCATGACAACAGTGACCACAAAATATACATATGATGAAAGGTTGTAGGCAATGAGGGCCATGGCAACAGAGTCAGTGAGTAGCACACAAAGCTTGGTAGGCATATCGGCAGACTCAGCCACCATGGCTCTAAGGTCGCCCACCAGCTCAAGCAAAACTCTGCTCAGACCCCACATCCCGTCTGCTTCCAGAACTTGGGATAGGGGTGAGGGGAAACGGAAGTAGAGGAAGGTCTGCTCCAACTCAGAGTAACTCTCTTCCAGGTCTTGCAGGAGGGACCAGTTAACGACATCAGATAAAGCAGCAATAGGAAGAATCCCTGAGTCAGAGCATACCCTTATGGCCTGGAAAAAGTTAAAAGAGGAGCTGGATTAGAGGCTTTCATAGCTTCAGGCTGGCTGAGAGCCACCCCGCGTTCGCCTACACTTTCTGGCTCATGTTTGCTGCTAAGGACTTATACTGAAAACTGCACCAGGGCCCAAGAGAACACCCCTGCCTAGCACATTCTGGCAGACCCTCAGAGATCCCACCATACCCTAAAGCCCGTTATAGCTCATCACTACAGGGAGATAAGCATCTTTGAGATTTTTCCCATACTAACGAAACCAGTGAAGGGGTTATAGCAGTAGAATTTGAAACTAAGTAAAGGGCTGAAAAACGGAAGCAGCATATTTTCAAAATATGCAAAAGTTCATTGTCAGTATGTCTGCTTGTTCAGTCTTTGAAAGCCTTTGGAATTTCTGCTTGAAACAAGGCGACATTTAATCATCCTGCAAGAATGGTGAAAAATCTAGTTCCAACTCTCTAGTGCAACCATATCATCCACAAATATTTATGCATGCTTCATGTGTATTTCAGAAAGACTTGCTAGGCTATCTTCTAGATCCTGAGATTCACCAGTGAATGAAACAGAGTATCTGTCCTCACAGAGCTTATATTCTAATGTAGAGGAAACAAACAAACATAAATGTCAGAAGGTTAAAAAGTCCTACATTACGTGTGCATGCAGAGCATTCTAAAGAGGACAAGGAGTGTGTGAGTGTGTTTGTCAGTGTGTATACACATGGCATGTGTGATTTTATGCTAGATAGTTAAGAAAGGTGTCTCTGATAAGGTAACACTTGAGCAAAGTCCTGAAGGACACAAAAGGTCAAGTCTTGCTTATATCTGCAAGAAAAGAATTCCTACCAAGTGCAAACGTCCTGATGGGAATCATACTTGGCACAGTCTAGAACCACAGAAAACCAATGTAGCAAGAGGACGATGTACCAAGGGGCAGGGGTCAGGAGTGGGAATGGATCGTGGAACACCGAGTCGCCGTAAGTCATGGGCTTTGGTGGGGTAGAAGATGAAAACCACTGGGTGGTTCTAATCAGAGGGTGATATGATCTGATTTTTCTTTTACAAGGATCTCCCTGCTGGTTCAGTGTAAAATCGACTAAAGGGGCAAGGTTGGAAACAAAGAGACCAGTTTTTGCCTACTATATAAAATCTAATTTACAAGTGATGCCAGTACTTGGCAGATATACAAAATGATACAGAAGATATCTAACATTTAAGGTGGTGAAAGAAACATTTGTAGTGATCCTTTTGGAAGATGTGCAACTTAAAACATCTTGGGAACCTAGAAGAATCAGAAAGGTGAAATATTTGTAATAAAAAGTAGTACTGAACATAGAGCACGAACACTGAAGCGAGATTCAAACCTGTGTCTGTCTCCCAGACTGATATAATTAACCACTCCCTTCAAATTACTGCCAAATCACATCATTTCATTCTTCACATTTCAGCCAAAATGAAATTCCTAAAGTGCAGATCTGACACTCTTTACTTCCCTTAAAAATTCTCATTGGTGGCCTGCTTCCCTGAGGCCAAAGCCCAAACCCTTTAACAGGCTATGTAAGAACTTTTATGATCTGGCCTCTGAGCTCCAGAATATGGAAATTATTCCCATTCCCTGAACAAGACAATACTTTCTTACATCTAGGTCTCTGAAGATTATTCTGCGTTCAAAAGTATTTTGCTTTTTCCTTCTTAGAAGCAAATTTCAAAAGAGCTGAACACCGAATTATAACCAGTTTCCTAAGAGAATACTAGATTCCATTCTTAAACATCGACAACATGCTAAACTCTCTATATGTATCAATTATAATTAATATTTACATTAGCCAGCATTGCTATGTTACAAAACTCCTAGCGTTGCTATTTCCATTACGGTCCATGAGAACAGCACCTCTGGAGTTGTGCAATGCACAGTGCCCTAACAATAATCCTAAACAGGAGGTATTATCAGCCCATTGGAAGGTTGGATAACTGAGGCTTAGATTGGTTAAGTACTTGCTGAAGTTCATACGGACAGTAAACCCCTCAACTAAGACTCAACCCCTGGTCTTCTTCAAAGACTAATATAATTAACTGATCCATTATACCATCCCTGACAGTGTGTGAATCAATCTTTGAGAACTATTGGGGCTGGCTTGGACTAGCCCATTGGAAAGCCTCTTGGCTTCCATGCATGGTTAGGTGGGTCTAGTTAGCAAAAGTCTTATGGAAGGTTTGCAGTAGCCTGGCTTTTATCTTACAGATTAGACTCACACAACGATCAATAACTGTGATGTAATATGAGGGCTAACATGTTCCTAGAGACAGCTGCCCTTCAATCTGGTCTTTCAGCAATTGCCTGGCAACCTCTTCCTGCATGCACAGTCAGGGCAATCTAGGCCAGCCAAGAAAAAGCCCTGCCCTTTACCCCTTCCCTAGCCCACATCCCACAATATGTTCTTAGCCAAAAAAGCACCAGATGTCTAAAGGTGGATAGATCAGTAAAAATCCATCATCATTATCAGAGAAAAAGGAAGGGGCTTCTGGTATTAACTAAAAACATCACAATTATATTCTAAAGAGATCAGCATTATAATTTGTGAAATCAGTGGACACTTACTGGCAATGAAGTACCAGAGAAGAACTCTCTGGACTTGAGTTTTTATTAAATTAATACCAAATCCAAATGCTCATGAAGATATGGAATAGGTGCTATCTAACTGTGAGTTCCTTCTTCAACCTTTTGTCTCCTTTCTTTCAGAGTCTTTCCTGTAACATCAGATTCAACGTAGTTCTACTTAACTCTCCCCATTTTCCTTCAAATATACATCTCCATACAAATTAAGCAGAAAGATAAGAATAGAGGCTGTGGATATGCTGATTTGCTGCCTGGTTTTCTTATATTCTGCCTTAATTTACCAATACAAAATATAGGCTGATTTTTATGGGGGATTCAGATAAACTCGCATGACTATGGCCAGTACTCACTTAGGAATATCCATTACATTATCCAAATGAGATTTTAGCACAGTATCAAGGATACCCAAAGTATCTTTCGATCACTATTTATTTTAAAACAAAACACACAGTTTCATCACCTATAGATCACAGAATGAGATCTATATGGCACTGACAAAGGATGGTAAAAAGATATCCAGCTGTGAATAGGCCAGCCAGTTGTGTTGGAGGGAGAGGTCACAGCTATAAGAAATAGAAGCCCACATCTGCAAAAGATAGGTCATTATCAAACTGCTTTTGTAAAGGATGAGGAAGAGCTTTTGAAGCAAAGATGCCTGAAGAGTGGTTATGCAGCATAGCTACCATTCCCTGCTGGAAGCTGTAGACAGTTTTGACTACCAAGGAGGACCTGACTCAGAGAAAAAGCACATGCTGGCATTGCTACCAGCCCAATAAACTGGACAGTCAGCCTAATGGCATCCTCTTGACTGGGAGCTGGGGTTATTCCAAGGAACTTCTTGATGGCTTTCATCAGGACTTGGAATTCCCTTCTATGTAATTCTTGCTGACTGAAAGCCTCAAAGTTAAGCAATTAATCTGTTTCTAAGGCAACATTAAAGCAACCATAAATCCTATCCACTACCAAGGCAAGCACTTTCAAAGGCTTCTAGACAAAGAGATGATGCCAGAGGATGAAGGCTTTTCTCATCTGACCATCCCATCTGAA